TGGATGCAAAATAACTTTTCTGGTATTAACTGCTGATTTTTCTGGGGCTAACTTTCTGTTACTTCTGTCCTTCTCTCCTTTTCCTTGTTTTCTATTGGATGGAACCATCTGCTATCTGCCAATCATATTAGGAGCTCGATGAGGTACTGTCGTTTCCCTTTAATTATTTACACCAAAACATGTTAATGCATCATCATATTGACTTATTTTAGAAAACGTTTTTAATGGTATCATTTATAATTTGTGTTTTCAAGTTGGCTGACGACCGAATGGCCCTGGTGTCAGGGATTAGTCTGGATCCTGAAGCAGCCATCGGCGTCACAAAGAGGCTGCCTCCCAAATGGACAGAGGGGATTGATGAGGTGAAACACTTAAGATTAAAGCAGAAATATATAGAGACGTATCTGTTAAAGGTTTGACATATAAATACAGTATCCCTCTTTGTAAGACCAAATACTCAAAAATGCATCTGTTCCTGTATATTAAAACGGGTTAAGTCCTCTGTATGAGTAATGTCACATGGCTTTCAACCGCTGTGTATTCCCTTTCAGATCCAGTATGAAATCACTCGGGTTCGGCAGAAGATGAAGGATCTGGCTTTACTTCATGACAAGCATATGAATCGACCTACACTTGATGACAGTAGTGAGGAAGAGCATGCCATAGAAATCACTACTCAGGAGATAACACAGGTACAGACATTTACCAGAAACAGAGATAATGCTTTTAGAAATAATAATACAATTGCTATCTTTCCAATGTTTTTAGGATTTGGAAAATATATATTTTAGAAAACAGAATATGGGCAGAATATAGTTTGGAAACAAAATATTTTCCATCCTCCTTTTTCATACTTATCCAGACCTGGAACAAGTTTTAGCTTGAGCCCAAAGTCATATAAGCATAATACAGTCTGTGGTGTTGATTTCATGTTAGGTGTTTGAAAGGAAACCAGTAGCTGTTCACTCACTATCTTTGTGTTAATTGCAGATGTTTCACCGGTGCCAGCGAGCTGTGACGGGGCTGCAGACTCGCTGTGGCCACTGTACCGAGCAGGAGGAGAGGCTGCTGAGAAACGTGGTGTCGTCGCTGGCTCAGAGCCTGCAGGAGCTCTCCACCAACTTCAGGCACACGCAGTCTGGCTACTTAAAACGTAAGGACTGCATGGAAGCTATGATTGCATTGCATATCATTTAGCTGACGCTTTTATTCAAAGCGACATACAGTCAATAAGTGCAAAAACCATAAAGAATCAAACTCCGAACAACAAGGGAAGTGCAGATATATTCACTTCAAGCAAGATCATACCATAGTTAGTGCTGATGAATTAGTTACAAGGCCTAAATGAAGTAGTAAGTATTAAAAGTACTTTATTTTTTCAGCAAGAACTTAATGGCCAAGGTACAATCGAAATAGATGCGTTTTCAGTTTGCGACGGAAGATATGCAGAGTTTCTGCTGTCTGATTGGTGTTTCTGAATTCTCATCCTGCCTCTCAGATATGTGTAACAATTAACAAGATTATAGCTCATGTTTTTATCTTCAAGTTGTTCGTTTGGGTTGATTATTGGTTTATATTCCAGGTATGAAGAATCGTGAGGAGAGATCAAAGCACTTTTTTGACTCTGGACCCCTAATGGAAGAGGATGAAGATTTAGCTGTATATGACAAGGTGACTATCCAATAACATGTATTAACTCATTCAAGTAAACCCAATTTAAGAGTTTCATAGAGAACAATTAAAGGGGATACTTTATATTATAAACATGAAATCGACAAGATAAGAAAAAAAAACATCCATTAAAAGCCTTAATACCCATTGAGTTATTAATACAGGTCTACTGTGTCATGTTATCACTTTCCATATGGGTGGAAAAAAAATGTAATGCTTGTTTTTCTTTCCTTTTCAGTTAAATAAAAAATAATTTGTGTTATTTAAGAGGGAGATTACATGTCTAATTGTGTTACATAAAATCACCTACTTCTATTAATTCTTTCAATCAGGGGTTCACAGACGACCAGCTGATGCTGGTGGAGCAGAACACAGTTATGGTGGAGGAACGAGAGAGGGAGATCCGACAGATAGTGCAGTCCATCTCAGATCTGAATGAGATATTCCGGGACTTGGCTGGAATGGTGGTGGAACAGGTATTTTAAGAAGTCCTGACACAGTAACACACAGAAATAATAAATAGGCTTTATAATAATTATGGCATGAGGTTGTCTGTGAGTTGCCCTAATGACTTCCACAATTAAAGCATTTTGATGTTTCATATGTGTAACAACAGAGCTTGAAGGACAATTACTGAACTACTTAAGTCACTGCCTATCACTAAATACTACATTACCTTTGTGTAAAATAACTAAAATGATTTTCCTCTGCTAACAATACTCTTATTTTCCCTCTAGGGCACCGTTCTCGACAGAATTGACTTCAATGTGGAGCAGGCTTGTGTGAAAACAGAAGAGGGAGTGAAACAGTTACAAAAGGTAAATGCAAAGGGCTCATGTCCTGATACACATTTTCACTTTTTTAGCTAGGTGATAGTCACCATTCTTTTTCAATCTTTTGTCACACTTGTACAGATGCTAATAATTTTTCCAACTTCAGGGGAAAACAAAAAGACGATTTTAAGCGACTAAAGACAGCGTTATGATTTAATTTACCATGAATTACAAACCTTTTGAACAATCATCTCTGTTTTGACCCCAATCACTGCATGATGGAAAGAAGCTCAATGATTTACCTTTCATTCATTCATTCGATGAAAAGACAGCAAAATACAGTGTTTGACATTTTTTGTTTTCATTTCCTTTGCAGGCGGAACAGTATCAGAAGAAAAACAGAAAGATGCTGGTCATTTTGATCCTCTTCGTCATAGTCATGGTTCTAATTGTTATACTTTTTGGAACAAAGTTTTAATTATGCATTCCTCTGGCTTTTGTTTTCTGTGTGGGTGTTTGTTGTGCATCTGTGTGGACTTGGACTTGCTCTCAGTTCTGCTCAAAACAAAGCTGACTGCCTTTCATACCCAGCAGGAAACGTCAAGAAGATTTCCTCGTCCCCTTAACAGGTGCACTTTGGGCTGTGTGGAGATAATAGGTTGATTTGAATGAAAGACACAATCAATCTGGCTATTAAGTGTCTCGCACCCAAATCACCAAGCTCTGTGACAGAAGTTTGTTGAGCCTGACTATTTTGACTGTGTCTTAACAAATCAAAAAGAACGTTGGTGTTTTAAGACCAATGTTTAAATCCTAAAGCAGAGTGTTATCATTTCTGTCCAGTTTAATCTAAAGTCATTTTGTTTCTGTGAGGAACGTTTGACAAGTAAGAATGTTTGTGAAACAGAAATATGCAGTTAGTCTCATTTCACTGCAAATCCATGTTCATTCCGATTTATGTCCTGGCTCAGTATTTTTCCTTGAAAGAGTATTTAGTATTTGGACAATAGCAGATTTAATTAGAATAGTCTTCTTCTTTTTTTGGTTTAAGGACCATCTATTTTTGTATCCCTTTACTCCACAATTTAAAAATAATACTAAGATTATTGTACTTTTGAAATCATTACATATGCTGCACTTTTGAATGAGTGAAGGAGGTTATGTTTGCAGTTTGTTTGTTTGATAGTAAGCAGGATAACGAAAAGACTACTGGCCCGAATTTCATGAAACTTGGTGGAAAGGTGTAGCATGGGCTAAGGAACATTACATTTTGGATCATATCCAAATCACAAAGCGGATACATTATTTGTCCTTTCATTACCGTTGCGATATTTGGCCTGTGCTCTCCAAGTGCCCTCCCAGTAGTTTATGTTTTAAAGGTCCTTGCTTAAAGTGCTACCTTTTTAAAACCCTTGCAGTTTGCACATATTGAGGCCTGAGGGGAGAAGGGTGGTTTTGTCATGGATGTAATACTACTGACGTCAGTATGATGAAAATAATTATTTATTTTTTAATAACTTCAAGAATCAAGCGGTTCAGAGGTGTTCTGTCTGTTGCAGAATGACTGTATATATCTGTAGTCTAAATGAAACGGTTGTTATTGTCCACTCCATTGAGAAAACTGTGATGTAGACCAACACAAGCAGACGAATGAAGACACTTGTGATTTTCTTTTCAGGTCGAACACTTTACATTTCAGTTGGCTGTGTTTGAATTTCTTTACATGTTCTTGTGTTCTGTAAGACGGATGCGCTGATTTATGAAGAGCTTTATTTAACATATCTGTGCTCAAATCTACACTTTATACACCTGTCAAATCATCTTTGTCATTGATGTAAAGTTATGTGTGAAAAATTGTTATGTCTTAGTGGTACTCTACTTAAGTTTTGTTTTCCAAACAAACAGGTGAGGAGACTGCAACGATTTTTAAAATAAACCTGGAACATAAATGTGTTTTGTGTGTTTTGAACTGCAGCCTTGATGCAAAGATACCACTTACACAATTGGGTGATCTACTGACTTAATTATATTAACTATTTACTAATAAATTATTACTGATAAATCATTTAAATCGCTTTTAATTTGGGGATTTGCTGCTCATCTCGGTTTTATAGCATCATAAATGAAATGCAGTACAATAAAATATAGAATGAAGGATAATATATAAAACATAACTTACAGTGAAATAGTATTATATTAGTAATAGTAGTTTAGTGCAACAGTATAACAGAATAATTCAAATTGTATAATATGATGCAGTAGTGGTACACTTTACTATTATTTAATACTATTACAGTATACTACATAAGTACAAGTAAGTATATTAAAATATAACAGCAAAGTGTTTCATGTTTATATTTTTTAAGGGTTACATAATTATTCAAGACTGTTCATTGTGTGGTGCAAAGTGTTTCAGAATTCATTTCTTGTCAGTCCTGTAACCCGGAAGCTAAGTATGTTTTACTCAAATGTCAAATTAAAAGCCTTGTAAATTCCCAACCCTGACAATACTGAGTAGCAGACTTTACACCAAGTGAGCGACTGTATGTACTACCAACCATGACTTGTACAGGATAAGTTGACGACCCGTTCCCGGTTGAAGACAGTCTGTTTGCGGAGACATTTTCTCAGGACACCGTGTACACTTTGTCCGGCCAGCAGCTGAACATCAGACAGGTGTTCGGGGCCAGCCTCGGCGTGGCTTCCCGGGTCTGGGAATCTGTAAGAAAAGACAGCTTATAATGGCGTTATAAAAACATACCAGCTTTACCAGGTTAAGCATTATCTAACGATGTGGGGTGTATTCTGGTGTGCATAATGGCGTTACACCTGTGTGGTACTTGGAGGAGCAGTCTGTGGAGTTGAGAGGGCAGCGCATCTTAGAGCTGGGAGCAGGGACCGGGGTGGTGCTTCCTGGCAGCACGCCTCGGTTTGTTGTTACCATTTCTATTTTATTTGTTTTTTTAATAAATATGAGTGCATTTCACGCTCCTGAAAATTACCCGGTGGCTTGTTTTCAGCTATTTTTGCTTGTCCATTGGATAGGTCTCTCTATTTAGCTCACTCTCAAGCCTAGCCCCAGTTTTCCACCAGAGGCGCTGCTGACCTGCTGCAGGTACTACAGCAGGTGCTGCTGTCACTTAACCAGCACTGTACCTGAATATATATATTTTTTTTATTTGCTGCATCTTGCTGTAAATCAAAACATATAAACATTGGACGATGAGAACAATAATAATATATCTACACCATGATAATAATAAATCCATATCATGTGCAATATTGCTTCTTCAATATTCTGTCAAATGTTACTCTTTATTACTTTTTCAATATCATTGCCAACATTACTCTCTATCATGTGCATTATACGTAACTTTTTTAGTTTACTAAATGCATCTTACTCTTTTGTTAGTCTGTTTTGTACTGATGTAAGTACTTTTTGTTTACTTACCCATTAAACTAAACTCTCTTTATCTAGTGTTATAACCGATACACTTTGCTTTTATGACTGTTAATTACTGTAAACAATTTTTGCAATCTCTGGCACAATCATTTCCTTTCAGATTAATATTATCATTGTATCAGTGGCATACAGTAAGATAGTTTTAAAATCACAATAATATTGTTAATCATAGTTATTTCAACAAAAACAAAATATTGTCTGACACAGGTAGTTATTGTGACAAGCCTATTGACAACACATAGGACTCACATGGTTCTGATTGTTTCCAGGTGCAGTGTTGACCCTCACAGACCTTCCTACGGTTCTCCCACAGCTTCAGGCCAACGTCTCTGCTAAATGTCCTTCCTCTGTCCTGGGGTGAGGACCACATGGACTTCTCTTCTGACTGGGATCTTGTGCTCTGTGCAGATATTATGTACCTCCCAGAGACCTTCCCCCTGCTAAAGGACACTAGCTCATCTGTACAAGAACGGAGCCGTGGCATATCTCTCGTCCAAAATGCGAGAAGAGCATGAGACTCCAGGTTTCTTTGAAGAATATCTCCCAAGAATATTTAATGTGGAGCTTGTGCAGCATGATGACAATCAAAACATTAACATCTACAGGGCATCTCTGAAGAAAGACCAGTGACAGCAGGGACCACCTGCAAGACTTGGCTGTGTTACTGTAATCAACATTTGTGCCTTTAGCAAAAATGTATTTTTAAAGAAGTGTTATACAAAATGAACATCTATCATCTTGGATTATCTAATGTCAGTCTTCAACCCAAAATAGGTAGAACGCATTTAAAGCAAATGTTACTTTAAGCTGCAACTTGTCACAACTACAACTTGTTACAATGATCTGGATATACAATCTGTAGCAACTTGTTTTTACCGTGACGGAATCCACTTCAGGCTCATAATCACCTGTCAGGTTTTTCTTATGAGTTTATATTTTTTCATTATAACTTTATGTCGTCATTATCATGCACAATGTATTTTATTGTAACTCACAAAAAAGTATGTGAATTATCTTGATTTACTCGGTCATTAAAGACACATTGCTTTTGAGTTTTTAAAATGTTTTGTGTTGGCGCTTTTAGCAGTACAAGCCAAAATATATCTCGTTCCATTATAATGGAGAGAAGGCAGACATTTCAACAGCATATATTGCCAACAATCTCACAAACAAACCATCTAGATTTAAAGTAACACTACAGATAAATGCAAACATTTTTATTTCAGATTTTGGGGTGAACTGTCCCTTGAAAGGCCCTGAAAACCTAATGTTCTCCATTAGCTGCTCACTGAGTGACCGGGTCCTACATGAACTCTAAATATTCTACCAAAGTTATAAAAGATTTATGTACTTTTAGAAAATATGTCTGTATTTTTGTATCTTATAGTATCACATCCTGCATGCATCAGGGTTAAAACACTTTTGAATGACATGCTTGGATTATTTGTAACTATGTTGCTGAGCCATTTACTATCAAATATCAAACCACACTCGCACAATCCGACACAGTCATTGATTTGTGTTGTTGTTGCTCATATACAGTAGTAATGAATATTTAATGTTATAATAAAATACATTTCAGGGGCTTTAGATCGAAAATCAACACCCATCCTCACCAAACATCTTCATTATCATGATCAAGCATTGTAGTTCAGAAAGATACAAAACGTTTCTTATTAATGAAACTTAAACTGTGATTACTACTGCAGGTTTACGTCAGCTCAGTTTTGACATTAATTCGAAACCTGGGTCTAATATATCAAAATAACATTCTCAAACTTAAAACCTGAAACAAAGTTCATCCCCACCCAACTATTCTGTCAACATCAACAGATTGCCCTCCCTGCAGCCTGCTGTCTGTACGCACTTCATCCCCTCTCTCCTGCTCTCTGCTGATGTACAGAATTTCTGTTCACAGAAGGAAAGCCTGTTTGTTACGCTGCAGAGTTTCAAAGAAAGGGAGACAGCCTGTCTCTCCCTCCGCTACAATTCAGCCGACAAAACAACAGATCACTATCTCCATGCACAGTCTGCTCGCCATCACGCCTCCCACGCGAGTGCCATGCAAAAGTGCGGATCACTGATTTTGTTTTCATTCATGATTATTTGGGGAAAGTTAAGAAAACTGCATTTGAAGAATGTTGATGTTGACCAGAGTGACGTATGAGCAAACAGGAAACCCTGCCAATTATAAAATAAAAAAGTATATTGTTGACTGTCTCTTTTTGCACTAAATCGATTAGTTTGCTTCATGCATTTAGTAGAAAGATTTGAAAGGAGAAAAAAAGAGAAATTATGCAGCTAAAGTTGCACATTTAAAAACCTAATTATAAAATTCCAGGAGGATGTGCTACAGTGACATGGGAGTGTGAGTGTGAGTGTGTGCACGTGCACGCGCGTGTGTGTGTGTGTGTGTGTGTGTGCGTGCGTGCGTGCGTGCGTGCGTGCGTGCGTGCGTGCGTGCGTGCGTGCGTGCGTGCGTGCGTGCGTGTGTGTGTGGAGTGGGAGGGGGACCTAAAACCAGCGTCCTTTTAAAACAAGTTGTCCTGTTTGTGGACTTCATTAGACCTCTTATCCCCTCATGAGCATCAAGGACATTTATCTGAAAACTTGAATTAAAGGTACGTGTATCCATCTTTCCATTTCCATTATCTGAATTTCAGGTAAGGCTTCAAATAAATAATCCTTTGTCTACCATGATTCAGATCTGTGCATCAGACCAAAAGATGGAGTTCTGGCGAGAGAATCAGGGAAAGTCGCCTCTATACTCCAAATTTGCAACTGTTTCTGGGAGAAATTGTTCACATAGGTGAGTGTAGTGCTCTGCTACTCTTTAAATCATTGTAATTGTGATATGATAAAGTTTAAAATGTACATTTCATTTGTACTTTACTTGACTAAGACAACAACTGACGATACTTTACTTGAATATCTATAGATGGCTGTTTCACATTCCTGATATAAACTGAATAATTTTAAGCAACACACTATTTTAAGTTTTGGGATATCAGCGTTCGACAATATTATGATGTACTGTAAGGTGATAGTAAAAAGAGCCATTTGTGATGAGTTTCTAAAACACATACAAATTGAATGTGATATTGAAGAAGGACATTGCTGGAGCTACTCTAATTTACTGACACATTTTCCATCATTTCACCCGCAGCCACCATGACAGACATCAGGTACCCCATTATCCACTGTACTACGGTGATCAGCAGGAACAAAGCAGGGAGTCCAGTTACTGGACTGTACCGGGATCAAGATCAGGAGGGGCTCCACACGAGTACACTCAATGGACCGACCGAGATCTGGCCGCTGCCACATCTTCTCACTTCCCTTTTATTCTAGAGCGTCACGCTCAGCAGCACCAGGACCAGGGAGACCATCAGCCGCAGGAAGCCAGAGACAGAGAGTGGACAGCAGCTCAATCAGCGAGGGAATATGAGAGAGGACTTCTCAGGGAGGAGTGGCAGAGAAGGTGGGAGCCCTGTGGTCCTGTCCGCTACAACACGGAAGTTTCTGCAAAGAGGAGCGACAGCAGCTATCGGGAGCTGGAAGCTTGGGCAGCACGATACAGCCATTCACTTCCAAGGAGGAGACGTATAGAGGCAGAGATGAGGGGCGCCTCTCAGGAGAGCAACAGGGCTCCTGGGAGGGAGAGCAGGAGTGTGACAGATCCTCGCCTGGAAGCGTTGCAACAAGTCAGACAATCTGCAAACATCAGAGAATCAGGACTGTGGGACAGAGGCGGCAGACAACAAGCTCCAAACTATTATACATTACAAACTCCTGCAAGCGACACAAGCAACATGTTGGACACGAAAGAAAAGATTGGCTACCAACAGAGGATGTTCAGCCAACCTCCTGGCTACATTGCCCCTCCTCCCTATGACAGCCCACATAAAGGTTCACCTGTGTTGAACCAGTGTGATGTGAGCTGGGAGCAGGAAGGTAAGAGACAAACCTACTTGTCACAGCCTAAACTCAGAAAGCAGGATGTCTGTGTAGATTTGCAGGAGAAAAAGCAGTTTATAAAACAAGCTGGGATGCTAAAAAGCTTTCCAGAGCTTGAAGGACTAAAGCACAAACAAAAGGAGACAGGTGCTTTACAGGCAAGAAGTCATTTTAGTGCCCAGGAAACACACATGCAGCACGAGGGTATGTCGTATCTGCAGCAGCCACAAGTGTTACAAGCAGTTGAGAATACAAAGATTAACGAGGAGTCATACTCAAAAGTCATTGAAGGAAGAAAGTTTAGATTAAACAAAAAGACAGGCGGACTGACCATATTTTGCCTGGTGTCGAGAATAGCAGGCACCACAGAAACCCCTTCTTTGCCACTTTGTTCCTTGCAAACAAACAACGAAAACACAGAATTGAGAAGTGTTTCAAAAGGTCTATGGGACAATAGTGGCTATAACCAAAAACACAAACTTGCTGATGAGGTAGACTTCAGAGCGACAACACCCACAGAGCAGTCAAATACCTCTGATGCTACAAATGTCAAGAGGGAGGCACCAACCTGTGTAGAAAGTGAGATGCTTGAGGATACTATAGCTAAGACAGATCTTTTTCCAGCAGAAGCGCAAACAAATAGTGTTGATTCTGCATTTGGGAGACAAGTTGCTCAGTCAGTGCCAGTAAAATATCCTTTGTGGAGGGAGCCTATTTTCTCAAGCAGGACTGAAACTGAGAGGTCATCTACGTGTTATAAAGCAGACAGTGAGGACAGAGAATCAGATGTTCTGCTCAACCAAGGGGAGTCTGGTAAAGTCCATCCAATTGATGTTGAAGTAAGGAAACTTGACATCAAGAAAAACCCACAATCTGAGGACAGTAATAATCCACTACTTATCGACGCAACCTGTATTTGTGTTCAAATGGAGCAGATTCCCTCTCCTAAGAAAGAGCATGTTCTGTATTTACACACCCAACACAGTCCGCTTCAATCGACCACCTCTCCTGAATGTTTCGAATCAAACAGTCAGATGGATAAGGATGACCTCAACACAGAACCAAAGCCTTTCCACATTAATGACATGCTCAAGAACGAATTCGTCTCAGATCCTATGGAGAAAAAGGCACCCGAGGAAGAAAGTATAATATCTTCCCTCGGCATGTCCTTTTCATCCGTTTTTGAAAAGGAAACGTTGGAGGAGCGCGCTGAAAGGATCTTAGGAATCCCTCTTCTCGACTGCATTATTATGCAGCAACCTGAAGATGCATCATCATTGCTGGGCTTTTGTGTGGAGAACCAGGAGGTTAAACCTTCTACTATTAAACATACAGACATTGATGAACAAATCTCAGATGACCAAAGAGAAGAGGAACCGAATCAGTTTGAGGCTGCCAAAACTGAGGTTGATGTTTGTTCGCAAGAGAATGATGTGGCGAATGATCAGGCGGAAATCGAAGACGGTAGGGGTTGTGCAGGACCTCAGGATCAGGTGTCTAATACGTCTCAAGAGAACAACATTGACTCACAACTCAAAAGTGACATCAAAGCTTTATCTGCAATTGAAATGACAGAGAATCCCTTTAAACCTGTTACAACTGAGCAGGAAGAAAAGGATACCTCTCCCCATTATCCCTCTCAGTGTCTCTGGCCATTCAATTCTTCTTTGTGTTCACCCTTTCCAGACTTTGAAGCACCAAGCCCTGATCTACCTCTCATGCTCTCATCTTCTGATCCTACACATCCTTTGCATATCTCAAATTCAGAAATAGAGGAGGGTCCTGATCCTGAGTTGATTGCCCTCAACTCTGCAGAAAGTCATGCTCCTTGCTCTGAAAACTCTTCTCTTACTCAAAACCCATCATCTCTATCCCCTGCATCTACTGACTTTCCCCCAACCCCTTCTCCTCTTGATTTTATAAATCAAACTGCAGAATCAGTGTCCGATATTGAGGTACAGGATGAAGAGGGTGAAACGTCACAGCTAATACATGAGATCAGTGACACCTTTGAGGACGTGGAAAAAGAAATAACAGAAGAGATAGTGTCACAACCACAAGTTGAAA